ATATAAAATTTATCAAATTTTGACTATTCAATTTGTTAATCTAAATTTTTATTTTGTATTCTGTTTCATTAAAAATAAAAAAATTTAAAATTTTGAATAAGAATAAAAAGTAAAAGTAATATCTAGAGGCCCAGAAGTAGCAAGCCCTTTACTGCTCCAAGAGAAGCAGCGGAAAATTTGATTTCATGGATACGCGCATCACTTCTGTGCGTTCCATTTGTTTCTGAATCTCCCAATTTGTGCTACATAGTCAGATCTTGGAGTTCGATAATAAAACATGACATGGATGGAATGACTGGCTTGTCTGATTTACGAAGTTTATTTTAGGTGAGTAGTTTGGCTGTTAGGGCTGTTGCAAGGCTCTAATTAATTATGGTTTTTGATTCTTTTGAATAATAATTTCTAAGGTATGTGTTTTGGCACTAAAATGAAGCCAGGGTAGTATTAGGTTTTTTTTTTTTTTTCAAAGGCTTGCTAATTTATGAACAATTGAGATCAAGATGATGAAAAAGCTGAAAGGAAATTTGTGGTGTAAAAAAAAGTTTATGTGCTGGTTTTTATATTCATACTATCTGGTTTCTTAATTAAAACTAAAATTTGAGACATTACAAGTGTATGTTTTTTCTGAACAACTGTATTGAACCAAACTATACAGTGTCATGACTGAACCTTTTTTCCCACATGGCAAGGCCGATAATGATCATTGCATCTTTTCTGATTCACAAGCCCACTTCATGCAATTGCTGCAACTCTAGCATAATTAATTTGCGTAGGAGTAGCTCAAGTAAGATGTTGTATTTCCATTTTACACTAATGGTGTGGATATCCATGAACTTAGCCTTCCTCCGTGAAACTATAATAATTGATACCTCCTATTATTTAATGGCTGACTGTCTTTACATGTTAAAGTTTAATTATCCTCTTTCATTCCTCTTCTCTAAACATCAAGATTCATACTGAAATGCATAAATTTAAGTGCAACCACTAACCTCTACCAGTTATATATCTTTTTATTTGTTTATTTTTAATGAGTTTCTGTTGCCAGGTTACATTTCCAATGTAGAGGTTTGACCATGTGTAATAAGCGTTACAAATAACGCTGCTCCAATGTGAGAACTGTTGGGGGATTTCAGATCTTACCAACTTGACTATGATTTTTCAAGGCACAAACTCTTCTCTGCAACATCAAGTGCCAGCATCTGAGTTCAGTGTTTGCTTGAGAGAGGAACTCTCTGCCACTGTCACCTCCGCTGCTGGCTTTGAAGTTTGCATCTTCTCCTTTTCCTTCCACGTATCCTGATCTGGAAACCTGTTTGCATGCTGAGATGGCTGTTGCGACCTTTAAAGGACCCCCTAATGGTGAGTGTTGTGGGAACAAGAGAATGGAAAGAAAGCCTTCTGGAAAGAGGCGAGTATTTGTGCAGACTGAAAGTGGCTGCGTTTTGGGAATAGAGTTAGATAGAAGTGACAATGCCCATACTGTGAAGACTAAGCTACGACTTGCATTAAATGTTCCAACCGAGGAAAGTTCACTTATATGTGGTGATATGGTCTTGAAAAATGATCTGAGTGAAGTTAGAAATGATTCTCCGCTTCTTCTCACCAGGAACTTTTTGCATAGGAGCTCATCTACCCCATGTCTGTCACCTACTGGTAGAGATCTTCAGCAGAGAGATCAGAGTGGACCAATTGAGATATTAGGTTACTCAGATCAATTTGGTAAAACAAAACAACTGGTTGATGATATTATGAAGGGATTAAGGTTTGGTGTTGAACCAATCCCCATTCAGAGTGGACTAGGAGGTGCGTATTATTTTAGGAACTGCCATGGTGAAAATATTGCTATTGTGAAACCAGCAGATGAGGAACCTTATGCACCAAACAACCCAAAAGGCTTTGTTGGCCTAGCCCTTGGACAGCCAGGATTGAAACGTTCTGTGCGTGTTGGGGAGACAGGTTTTAGAGAAGTCTCAGCTTACCTTCTTGACCATGATAATTTTGCTGACGTGCCACCCACTGCCCTCGTGAAAATCACACATTCTATATTTAACATAAATGATGGGGTAAATGGTATGCATCGAAAAAAACAGCAGATCAGTAAGATAGCATCACTACAACAGTACATTCCTCATGATTTTGATGCGAGTGATCATGGAACTTCTAGTTTTCCTGTTTCTGCCGTGCATAGGATTGGGATCTTAGACATACGAATGTTTAACACTGACAGACATGCAGGAAATCTTTTGGTCAGGAAGCTTGATGAGGGAAGTTTTGGCCAGGTGGAGCTTGTTCCTATTGATCATGGCCTTTGCCTACCTGAAAGCTTGGAAGATCCTTATTTTGAGTGGATCCATTGGCCACAGGCATCAATTCCCTTCTCAGAAGATGAGCTGAATTATATATATAATCTAGACCCATTTCGTGACTCAGAATTACTGAGGATGGAATTGCCTGTTATTCGAGAAGCATGCTTGCGGATTTTGGTTCTTTGTACAATCTTCCTTAAGGAGGCAGCAGCCTTCGGTCTTTGTCTAGCTGAAATTGGTGACATGATGAGCAGGGAATTTAACGGCCACGATGAAGAGCCCAGTGAGCTTGAGCTTATATGTATTGAAGCAAGGGAACTGTTAGATCGGGAAGAATTCTCTTCTCCTGTGGCAGAAGTAGGAGACAAAGACGTGATTCAGTTTCATATAGACTGTGAGGATCATGATCTGGACTATACTGCAAATTTAGAGGAGCAACTGACAGAAAGCTCAGGTGAACGTGGAACCAGGTTTAGAAATGGCAGAAACCCTTTTTCTTCTGAACTGGAGGAGATTTTAATGGAGGACGAAGGAGAGAATGAAGGGGAGGAGTTGCCCTCAAGGTCTGATGAATACACTGTTCCTGAAGAAAATTGGGCGCCTAATATTTCGAAGTTGTTGGTGTCTATGAGAAACACTACTGTCGGTGAAAAAAGTTGGCAGCACCAGGGTGTAAAGCAAAAGACTGGCTGTTTGGCCAGCACATCATCTGGAAACAGGAGTGTGAATGAGTTGCCTGCAAATAGTAGTTTTGTGAAGCTATCGGATTTGGATGAAGAGAAGTGGAACCATTTTCTCGAGAATTTTCAGAGGTTGTTGAGTCCAGCTTTTGTTAGTCGCAAGCGACGGCTTGTGGGCCAGAGGCAGAGGCTTGGAACTTCGTGCCAATTTTAGGGGCATCATCCATTTAAATTATGGTGGGAACCATTAAAATTCTAAATAAAGAATTCGATGTGTCAGGTGATAGCCTGAACTATAGACATATAGAGATGCAGAAGATTTATTTCCGTGTTCTGAGCAGGAGTATTTAGTTGCCATATAATATGAATAGGTTGGCGGAGAAAGCTCTTGCATCAGCATGTAGAGGTACCAATAGATGTGGAGATTGTGTTCTCAATATGTTTCCTCTTTATGTTCACTTGTTAGCATGATGAATAAATCAGATCATAGAGATACACGAAAATAAGTTTGCCTTGATGCAAATACAGTGTTTCTCTTGGGAAGCTATAAACAGTTTGTGTGTTGCTAAAATTCTTCCGTTGCCTTAAATTATTACTGCTACTATAAATTATTTTGTGAGATTTGATTCCATACTCAAGGTGTGAGTGGTGCATTCGTCACGACGCACCCCCAATCCCCTGGCCACAAAGATTGAAAATTTGTCCCTGAATCCCTTCTCTTCAAAGGGCTTCAAAAGTACCATGCTTCTAAACAATGTAAATGTAGTTAAGTGAAAGTCATCATTTGCGATTTGGTTCGAGATTACTTGCAGAAATATCACCAAGTGTGTGAAAATCGAATCTAAATTTTCGTGTTATACATTACGTCTAAATGGCTTTCTAGCAAATGAAGCATCATGCTTGACCGTGGCTTAACGCTATGCTGTATGCAAATTGAACCAGCAGAACTTCATCCACTCTAGTGCTGAGAGGGACCCACAAATTTTAGTATGTTGGGTAACATACAAATACATCTGTACGCATATTGGGAATTAGGACTAATATTATTAAATACTCTCTCCATTTTTATATATACAAGAGAAAATACTACAGGACTATTTGAAGTTATTTTTATTTTATTATTTTAAAAATTGATATTTTATAAAATATGTTTTGAAAATAAAAAAATAAAAATAAAAACAGGTATTTTTCTCATTTTCTCTTGTTGTTTCCAGAACAATAATCTTAAAACACTTAAAAGTTATTTTCATTTGTTTGTTCTCCAAAACAATATTTTATTTTTTATTTTTCAAAAAACACATTTTAAAAATATTTATCAAACAAATTTTTTTGTTCTAATTCTGAAAACAGAAACTATTTTTCAAAACAAGTTTCCAAACAGCCCCTATATCTCACAGTTTAAAAAAGTCAATTAATTATAATAATTATGTTTAAAAATAAAAAAGTAAACTGAAATGCCCTATATTAATCAACATAAGTATACATTAATTGTTTGTCGTTAATGTAAATTACGAGGGGTGATTAAAAAATATGCAATAAATGTTTATCATAATGGGTAATTTTACTTATAAAAAAATATAAATCAAAAGTGATAATTTCTCTAACAATAAAAAATTGAGGGAGCATGGAGATCACCTATATTATATACATTGTATAAATAAAAATAAGCAAAATGGAATTTTTCCATGTGAGGCACTGGCACCGAAGACCTGTACGCAGGTCCATCCCCGTTGAGTGCTGCTATTACTACTCGCAGGATACAAAGCAAGTTAATCAACTCAGATGTCAGGTCCAAAAACAAAAACTCATGATTTCACTGGGCCAGGGCCATACAAAAGAACGTTATAGCAATGTGCATTTACCTGGGTTCCGTCTTGTTTCCAAAATTGATGTCCCCGAAGGGACAGGTTCTATCCTGTTTAAATGAACATGAAGGGAAATGCCGTTTTCTTTCGTCTGAATTGGCCTCTCTCTCTCTCTCTCTCTCTCTCTCTCTCTCTCTCTCTCTCTCACATTTACACAATTTTTTTTGGGGGGGGGGTTTTGGTGTTTCATTTTACTACATTCCTGCGTTGCTCGGTGGCCCTCTCCGTAATCCTATTTTCCTCCAAAGACGTAGATTTTTGTCAGCATGGAAGGCAGATGATGGTTTACTTCAAAGAATTTTAAAACTGATATAATCATCATCAATTATCCTGTTGAAAATAACGTGCTTGGTTCTCTGCTCTCCTGCACCAGAGGTCCAGAACTATCAAGAATCAAACACGGAATGCGCCCTTCGTGAATGAAACTGTCAGCAAAGAACAACATTTGCAGAAACTGAGACAGTAGCTTCAAAAATTTCGTAGTTGTTTCATCAATCTCCTGTACATCTCAGTTGTTTCCAAACGAGTACAAAAGAGATTCCACTCCAAGTAAAAGCAATTGTGTTCACCCAGTTTCTCTGTGGTTCATGGTAGCTAACCTATTTAATTCAACTTGTTGATCCTCTATTCGACTCAAAGCTCTGGAAAAGTTACTGCCTGCAAATGACAAGGTATCTTCTTTCACAAGGTGCCTTTCTTTATTCTCAATATGCCCTGTGAAACCTCACCAATGGAGGGGCGTTTCCTAGGAGATTTGTGCAAACATTTATATGAAATTTTTAGCAAGCTGCCTTACTTCTTCAGGGTTGCATTTTCCTACAAGTTGTTTGTCAAGTATCTCATCCACGCCATCATGATCCATAGCAGCCTTACAGAAAGAGATGAGCCAATTAGAAGAAACCCAAAAGGAGATCTAGGAGGATGGATTACAATGCGAGTATCAAGGATTTCCATGGCATAAAGAAAAAAAAAGAAGAAATTCTTACAAGGTTAATATATTCCATCAAATTTTGATGCGGGTGGATGGCTGTAATGAGCTCAAAAATGATTATACCAAAACTGTAGATGTCACTCTTCATTGTGAACTTGTTTGTGGAAATGTATGCTGGGTCCATGTAGCCGTATGTACCTTTAAGGCCTGAATTCCGGCCATCAAAGATCACTTCCTTTGACAGCCCAAAATCAGCAACCTACACAATCACAATTTGGAAAATAGTTTAGATATATAATCATAGATGATTCAAACTAAAACGCTAGCATCCACAGTCACAATAATTTTTTTTTTCCCTGATTGTTACGTTGAAGTTATCACAAAGAATGAGCAACTATGACATGTTAGAAAGTCATATCACATGAGCCTACGAGAAAAGAATATATATAAAGCAAACTGCTTGGGGTGGACAAGATAAGTATAAACTCCCCAAAAAAAAAAAAAAAAAACTTTCTTATGAATGGGTAAGAATAAGTCTGGCAAAATCTTCTGTGTTATTAAGCAGGATTTGCCTCCTAGCGATAAAATTGAAGAGGAAATACACAAGGGGCAGAGGAGGGAAAGAGAGCAGTGGCCAACAAATGTTAGGCACAGGGCCAATCGATACTATTAAACAAGTATATAAATAATATATTTATATATACATATATATATTTATCATCTATACATACTAAAAATTTCCGCTTGTCAATAATTTGATGGCGTTTCACATTAACCAAAACAACTTAAAGTTAGAGATCACAAGTCACCTCTATAATTTACACCTGACCTATAAGAACCAGTGGGGTATGATATAGAAGATTTTGAAAAGGTGAAGTGCGGGGAAATGATGAGAAGGGTCCCCACCCCCCCCCCCCTCCGGTCTTTTTAAGACTATCAAAATCGAAAAGTCCAGTCTTCTCTTTAGACTTCTGATGTGGCTAGAGATGTACTTTGCGTCTACTCAACTCAACTGTTTACACAGGATAGGCAAGATACCAGCCGCTCAA